AACTACTGCAGGATTGATTGAGGAGGCTTTGATTTCTGAGTCCTTAAGAGCTTTTGGAGATTGTCTCCATCAGGTTGAGCAAAAATGTTCTTAAACATAGACATGATTTGAACAACAGAGTCGATGAACTCCTGAGTGCATAATTTCCCGTATTACCAAATATTTTCAATTATGGTTCTAGTTGCACAAGATTTATTAATAGATTAATAAGGGGGTGTGCAATAGACTTACCTCCACGTGGTGTACCCTGAGCAACATATACTCATACGGCAAAAAGTCTATTAACCGGCAGTTGACTTCTCACTTTAAGTTACCATCACCCCACTATATGTCATATTTGGCTATTTCCACAGTAGTCACCTCACCTTTTTCTACCTTTGTGTCTGCCTCTTTTACATCATTGAAACACTCTTCCCTCCCCCCTCTCGACATTTTTCCCTTCGATGTTTCTTCCTCTCTGTGAAGCCTAAAGTCAACTAAAGGGCTAATGATAACCATCAAAACGCCTGCCATTTGATATAAATAAATAAATCAATAGATTAATAATGATACATTAATATTAACTAATATTACCCAGTTTGTTTGTTATTATGAGAAAGATTATCATGATTCCCAGAAGGCTTCAAAAGCGCTGAAAAGAAATTGTGCCAAAAATTTTTTAAACATAATTTAATATTCAGTTGTAGTGGTTTTATATTAGTTTGGGGTAAAAGAGAAAAGAAATTTACTTTTTTTCCTGACAACACAGCGTTCAGTGATGCCCCTATTTGTGGTTGCTAAAATTGGTATGACCTTCAAATGGTGTGATGGAGCGATGAAATGTCAAGGTTTGGTGGCCACAACACAATGAATAAGGAAATAACTGGAGATAGATGTTCAAATCTCATGGTAACGTTTACTTCAATTTTTTTCAAATTTTGGAACGGACTATTTACTGTCAGCAAGCTACTCAAAGCCAAGCGATGTTGTGTTGAGTTGGTCTGGTTGGTCTTCGGCAACGGAACTACTACTATCACCATTGGTTAGTGAGATTCAGCAATGGAATTAGGGAGTTTCAAAGACAAAGCCGAAGTGTCGAATGCTTTTGATAGTACACATTATCAAATTATCAAAAGGTGATTATTTGTTTACTGCAAGGGTGGTGTGGTGGGCCCAAATATTTATTCCGAAAGTGATAGATAGCTGGACAGATATCAAACTGTTGTCTAGTAAATATGAAGCATCTTGTCCCAATGGTCGTTGGGTTCGTGGAGAAGAGGGATATACGTTTATGCTCAAGCAAGATAACCTACGTAATGTCTCAAAAGTAATCATTAATAATCCCCTAATCAAGCACAAGGACGAGACACTATTACTAAAATCTCTTCACTAAATGAATAATAATAATCACAAGTGTTCATCCAATAGAAGTAAATCAAGTGTTCTGAAAACCAACAAATGACGAAATGCTACTGAGTATTAATTAAGTAGAAGGAAAAGGAGGAGTGATGAGTTTTACACTGGTCACTACGCAGCTTAAAAACATTATCTTTCCTTTCCAATGTAATTGATAAGTTTATGTCATTTTTCCCTCTACAATTAATAAAAAAATCTTATCACTTTACATCATGCTCAAAGTTGAAATGGCCTTCTTCTGTCAGTACAAGTCATTGCTTAATTAGATCATTAGAGAGATAGTTTGGTTAAGTGGTAAGGGAATTAATTTTGGAAGTGGGGATTTTTGCTTCACATCTTCACATCGCGATTAAATAATGTCGCGCATTTTGCAACTGGACTATTAAGTAGGCTTTCACTGAATTCGAGAGGTCGTGGGAGGCAGAGACAACCCAAACAATCCACTGTCTGGTCTGCGAAGCCGAAATTAGCTATAGCGACTGAGCCCCATGACACCAGCACGTTTAATCTATAGTGTTGAGGACATTATTCCACTATAGATTTCTGACTAAATTTGTGATGCAATATGGTAATCAGCTTCAAAATGCAGCACAAGATGAATAAATATCGATTAAGTATTTTTTTCAAATCTGCCAAGCCAATATATATCTATGAGTTTTAAATTGTCTTACACTTTAACTCATAAATGAATGGAAATTTATTTCGACAGGCATTTCAAATTTAAAACACTAATATTACGGTAGATTGATACAATGATAAGGCATATTCCTCAAATAGTTGTGGGACACGTTATTGCTGTGTGCGTTATCGTATGCCCGCATGTTTGCTCGCCAGGATTGGGGGGTGCGACCGTACAACTCTGGTTCTGGGAGTCTTGCTAGATGTTTGAGAATCTGCCATAGATATAAACGCGCTCCGTGCTACACGTCTGTTTTCTTTATAGCTGAGCTATAGCTTAGCTGTTCTCTAGCTAGAGGTTGGAGAATCTGCCATAGAGATTTCTGATTCCTAGCTAGATGTTGGAGAATCTGCCATAGAAATTTCTGAGCCGGTAGCTAGATGTTTGAGAATCTGCCATGGAGATTTCTGAGTCGGTCTAGATGTAGGAGAATCTGCCAAAGAGATTTCTGAGTCAGGAGAATCTGCCATAGAGATTTCTGAGTCAGTCAGGCTTTAATAAAGTAGCAATCCGCTACATAGTCATTTCATACAATCTCTACTAAATGCTTATAGGTTAAATATATGCAAAAGTGCAAATTTACCAAGTCGCATAACGAGTGCTCTATATTCATAGTAGGAAATACTTCCAGAAAAGGATTCTTGGTAGGAGGGGGGGGGGGGGGGGGAGATGTGCCTAGCTTTCTTGAAAATGTTTCGAAACAAGTACTACCAAGTACAAACGGAAAAATATATCGAAATGATAGAAATGAGTTTAAGATTCACAATTTGTGAAAAATGACAATTCACCTTTTTCAAGAATTAACACTAATGTGCATTCATAAAGATTTTATTGAAAAATTCAACGCGAATTACAAACAATGAAAGGCGATTTCCTTCAGTACAATGTCTTTTAGGGCGATTATTTAATTATTCTTCTATGAAGAAGAATACTAAAGCTGGTAACTTCGTAAGGAAGCCAAAAGTGACAATAGTAGCACCAACTGCTGTTACACCGAGTGGATGTATCACCAGGCCTCCAAGCGTCATCTCCGAAATCATCGTCACGCTAAGCAAAATGAAATGCTGCAAGGAAAAAAATTGAGAAATTCGAGGTACTTACAAAGATGCCGAGAGTTTGGCTTGGTTTCTTGGAGATGAATTTACCAAACAGAACCGTGATCGTTGCAAGAAAACCAGAGGCAATCACTCCATATGAAATAATTTCTTGTGCTTTATTTGGTGAATTACAAAGCATGAAAACGCCGTACGTGATCATTGATGCGGCCAAAATCTAATGAAAGGAAAAGGATATTTGCGGTAATTGAAATATTAGCCACTTACACAACTTATGATTGCAACTATGGCGTAGAGCCTGGTGGACCATTTAGAACGCATGGTTTCAGTTTCCCCATCCCTTGGAACAAGACTCTGCTGCTGAAGCTCTTGTCGGGAATTCAACCTTGGAAAGTGCCCTATTGCCATCTTGTAAGAAAATTGATAAGTGAGATTTACACTTGATAACTCTGCTTAAATATGTCCTCTTGTTGGCAATTAGTCAATGTGATGTGAGATTGCAATGGTTCACTTGCTCTTCCAGTGACCTAAGTACATGCTGTTCTAACAAAGAGGTGAAAATTAGTCTTCCACAAGTTTTAAAAAATTATCGGAGTGTGAAAAGCATGCCGAAATTATCATTTAATTACCCTAGTTAAGGGGCATTAAATTTCGAATTCTAAATGGTAATTGAAATTATTCACAGAGATATCTAGTTTCCAAGAGTTGAATTAACAGGTTCATCAGACTTAATTATGCCCAAATATTGGAGTGGAGGACATTATTAAAAATAATGACAAGATAGCCTCTATGTTCTAATAAATGAAATTTCTGAAAGAATTTGAATAAATATAAATAAGAGAAATAGGTAAAATATTTTGTCCTAGTAACGTAAACTGCATGCTAATATATTAACAATGTGGCTATCAGTCAATGGTCACCATGCAATGCAAAAGCCATCTTTTGAAAAACTGTTCATTCTCAAGCCAGTGTTCTGAAAAGACGTCCACAAAAAGGGTAGGACAGAAGTTGTCTAATGCGTGACTAATATTGGCCATCAAGAAGATACAAATTCGATTATGTAACCGAGTAACAGCCGCTATCGAAGTGTGTTTCTCATGTGGCAATACTCCAACAATAACAAGGTTTATTGACAATGTGTGGTAGTATTGCAGTTCCAGAACACAGTACTCCTAATTCCAAGGCTAATATTGTGATGAAGAAGTAAACATAATTTGCTTTGTTGATGGATATTATATTATGGGTAGCGAGGTGCGATAGACTTACCTTCACGTGATGCACCCTGGGCAACATATTCTCATGTGGCAAAAGTCTATAAACCGGCAGTTGACTTCTGACTTCAAATTGCAATGGCCCCATTGTATGTCATATTCAACCACTTCCACCGTACTAATCTTACCTTTTCTCTAACTTTGTGTCTGTCTGCCTGTCTCCTTAACATCTTTGAATCCCTCTTCTGTCCCCCCCCCCCCTATCCACTTTTTCTGACTTTGATGTTCCTGTCCTCTGTGAAGCCCGAAGTTAGCCAAAGGGCTAATGATAAGTGTCATAAAGCCCGCCATTAGAAATAAATGTTATTGGTAGCAGATAAATTCGTTTCTCTCTTCTCGTTTCTACTTTATCAACAGATTTCCCTATTTTAGTAAATGGATACAATATTATTATGATATAGGGGGAGTAATGATTAGCTCTAATGTGAATTTCATCAGCATTACGTCCACTTCATGAACAAATCTAGATGCAGATGCTTAATTACCACCTCCTCCTCCTTTCGAGGCTCTATATCTACCTTGATCACACTCCCTCTCCCTCTCTTCAATTCGTGCAGATCAGGCACAAAGTTAGAGGACGTATTGCTAGGGTGTATATATCGCGTATTGTTACACGAATTAGCCTTGTATTATCCAAAAATATCATTTATGGTAAGATGTCTATGTATGGAAAGAACTTATTTTTAATAGTATCCTAAGCTAAAGCGTTAGTTCAATTATTCAAGTCATTTTCGTACATTTCGGCAAGGCCTTTATTTTTCAAAGCCACGAGTTAAACTCATCACAATGGAAATTTCGGGCTATTCACACGTTTTTGTCTGATCTCACAGTAGTTCAAAGGTGAGATCTTGGTCTTCTTGAAAAACTCCCTTGTAATGAATTTGTGATGGCGATTCAGCACGAATTCTCTATGGGACACGGTGGTTGCTGTTGCATAACCACATTGATAAATTTCGCAATCAAAGCGATTTGCCACAGTACAAAATTCATTCTCATCACCTGTAATTACATAAAACTGTGAGATATATATATATATATTTATTTATTTATTTCAAATGGCAGGCGTTTTGACAGCTATCATTAGCCTTTAGCTGACTTTGGACTTCACAGAGAGGAGGAGGAACGTCAAAGTGGCCAAATGTTGAGAGGGGGACACAATAATGATTCACATATGTAAAAGAGACAGACAGACAGATAGACAGACACAAAGGCAGGGAAAAGGTAAGATGAATACTGTGGTAGTGGTCGAATGTAATATACAGTGGGGTCATGGTAATGTGAAATGAGAAGTCAACTGCCGGTTAATAGACACTTTTGCTGTATGAGTTTACGTTGTTCTGGGTGCACCACGTGGAGGTAAGTCTATTGCATACCCCATTCTGTGAAGTATATAGAAAGTAGCATAAGTGTCTCCTTCATTTGTCAACCTGTTTGAAAATTCGTCAGGAGAGAAATGCTTTTTGTTTGCATCTTAATGCCCCAAGCGATGTACTTAATCTGGAAATTGCTCACACATACGCGGTCTCAGTTTAATATCATACTCTCCTCCCATGAGAACAACTCGAGTGTCTACCTCCGAGCACTTCAAATGTTAAAGTTCACTTGGTTGCTCGTCCTAAAAGCCATGGCACCAATAACACCACTGGAAGGCCTTCATTAAATTTCATGGACTATGACACCGAACTGTAAGGTCAAAAGCTAAGCCCTTGAGTGTTCGCTTTATAAGGACACCAATCAGCATAATATTACTTTCACTGCCACACAATATGTCACATGGCAGAGTATCTAGCTTCACTCACAAATACTCGAAACTCGCTCCATTCCAATACTCTGCCTGAGTATCCGTTTGCATATACCAGGAGTCAATCCTCCTTCAACACACTCACTCACGTTTTACTTCATACCGATCGTTTTAAAGCTTGGCCTCTTGCGTTCTTGCTCACTGACACTGAACCCCCATCTACCCTCTCCATATTCAGTATTGACGTTGGCAATAAATTATGACGAATTAGTGCTGGAATTGCGGAATGAAAGGTCCCTATGTTACAACGTGCAGTGATTTGAGGTGGGATGGAAAATAACAAGTTAATCGAAGTCAAGTAATATTGCATCGATTTGGATTAGGTGTGACGTTTGCATGGCAAGGAGCAAGAATATTACTATCGCCATCGGCTATCATTAGTGTATTGAAAGCAGAAGCTCAAGGGATGAATTCTCCTTGGTGAACGATGGTTTGCATACGTACAGTCGGCAAAACATTGCGATTTGAGGTCTATTAAGACAGCGTAGGGATAACCGTCCAAAAATTATGTAAGTGATTGACTGCTGAGTAGAGAGCGAGCGGTTGCCTGGCAAACGTGATCGATCCTGTCTAGGTGGATACTAGCTTTTCGTGAAGAAAGATGATCGTTCAGCCTCGTGTAGCATAGGTTATTTGCTTGACTTAACATTAATATTTCAAATGGCAGGCTTCATGATATTTATCATTAGCCCTGCTTGACTAAAAATTAAACACGAGGCTCCACTTGGTGAATGAAGATTTGGATTATTCCGCAATACATAAAGCTCCCAGTCACTGCGGATATATACGTCACCTGAGTTAGTCCCTTGTGCCATCATTGTTCCCTTCTTATTGCCCCCCCCCCACTTTCGTAATTTTAAAATGCACCATAAACGAAATAGCCTTCATATCATTCAATCGCCTCTTAACACCTCATTCCAACTGTATTTCACATCTCCCTTTGTCACCTACATCGACAGCATCACCTTCACCTGTCCTTCCAATTGAATTTTATGAGCTTTAATTACTGATAATAGCGTCCGGTTCTTATATACCATCTTTGTCTAGGAATTTATTTATTTATTTATATCAAATGCCAGGCATTTTGACAGTTATCATTAGTCATTTAGTTGACTTCAGGCTTCACAGAGGGAAAGGAACATCAAAGTGAAAAAAGTCGAGAGGAGAGGGGGTGACAGAAGGGAGTTCAAAGATGTAAAAGAGACACACAAAGGTAGAAAAAGATGAGGTGAGTACTATGGAAGTAGTCGAATACATCATATAGTGGGGTGATGGTAGTTTGAAGTCAGAAGTCAACTGCCGGTTAATAGACATGTTTGCCGTATGAGTATACGTTGCCCATAGTGCATCACGTGGAAGTAAGTCATTTGCATACCCCCACTTTGTCTAGGAATATATTGAAACAAATATACAATAGCAATTTATAATTATTCTACTAAATTCTGATCAGTAGATAAGAGTGTCATTAGGAAAATGTATTATAATATAGGTTTTTACTCATTGCCGCCACGTGAAGTATGCACTAATTCGCGAAATATATGGAATGCTTCAAAAATGTGAATTTATAGTTTTCATAAGATTAATGCCATTGATCAGGAAATTCTTTGCATTGATGGGGCATATCACTGGCAGGCCCTCGCCACACTTTAGAACTGGTCATTATTGAATTAATCCCGCATACCCTCTCATCTCAAGGCCCACGATCTTATAGGTAATGCATTACTTGACAGCAGAGAGGAGGGAAAGCATGTGTTAATTTATTCGGCTCCATAAAATGCCCTCCATTACATCCAATCGTGTCAATTCTGCAATCACAATTTTATTTTAGCAATTGTAATAATTGAGTTTTAAAGGTAAGGTGTTTTCACAAACTGCCAATAAACTCGGTAGCCTCTGATCAATGAGCAATAACTGAAACGTCTAATTATAATCTTTCAAGATGCGAACTAAAAAGTCTTTATCGTAAGAATTGCTCTAGCATATTTTCAAGACTTCAAGCTCAGAATCTCAGTTATGAGAGGAAGCTTCGCCTCATCGGAAGACCCATGCATTCACACAATATTGCTTCCGTGGCACAATCACCACTTTAAACCACTATCTCACAAGGAAGCATTTCTATGTGAAGTCCTTCAGCAGAGCATCCACCTTATGAACAAATCTAAAGTTGAATACGTAGACGCCGAAAATGGTTACTTATTGACTTATTTAAAACCTATGTTCCACCATAACCACATCTTTTCGGTTTTCAATTCCATCACACTCACATTTCCTCCCTCTTATCAACTCATGCTGATCAGGTTTCCGTGCATCTGGCACTTCGAACACCTCTAGTTCAATTCCATTATGCATTAACAGACCCATCTGAGGGCATCTTCCCCATTGTGCTGCCCCATTTCCTAGTTAGGGAGGTAAAATAACTGTGGTTAATTGTTTCATGCATTTGTAAGTAAATGAATAGAGGTGTTTGTGAGATATTACTGATGATGGAGTTGATATTGATATCCTCTCGCATTAGATTCAATAGCTCTTAATTCTCTGTTCTAATTTCGAGGCAACAAATGGTCATACATTTCCTATTCCTAAAATCCACATGAGGATAAATTCGGCAAAATATTGAATAACGGTATTGGGGCACTTTACTTGCTCAATACTTTTACCATATTGCGAGTGCTTGACTTTTTTGAAATTCAGGTAAGTTGATTGTCACGCATTCACCCCATTTCACATTTATGTAAATTCAATAAGTGTGAATTAGGTGTAACACATTGAATCTTGCACAAAGTGCTACTGAGTAGTAATAAGTAGAACGAAAGAGTGTACTATGAGTTGTACACTAGTCCACCTGCAAACCCATAAGATAAGGTCTTTCTTTTCCAACGTAATTAGAAGTCATATTGTTTGTGGGCATATATAGCAAACTGTTGTGCTAATTAACCTTGACTTACTGCCAGCAATAACTCCGGCAACGTGGCCCTGCCTGTAAAGACCCTCGAAATCAGCTAAGGTACCTCGTCGATATAGTAGGAATAGTCGCTGGCATAGAGCTTAGTCATGAAATGAAAATTTCAAACGCAACCCCTGCAGTTTCCTATCACGATTAATCCTAATGAATTTCCTATCTTCTAAAAGGTAGAACAAATATGCCTCTATTGACTACTCAACTCAATACCGTGAGTTAATTTACAGCGTATACTTGTTTTAGCAAAGACCAGAGTATTAGAGGTGGATATTCCAATCGAATTAAGTAGCATTTTTATTGCCATTCAATTTCCATGTAATTTAGTCACTAACCAGGAACGCGAGCAATGATTTCAACTAAGAATCATGTGTCAATACGCAACGAAGAACTCATAGAACAATATCAAGCGGGTTCCTTTTGCCAAAAAAAGCATCTCCTTATTGGCTGCCAAAGCCATCAAATAGAAAACTCGAGCCCCCTAGGTTAAACCACCCACTTGAGCATACTTTTTTAACCTATAAACCGCAACTCTACATTTTAACATACTAGGAGCTATGCCTGATGAATGCGTATCGGTAAATTACTTCCCTTACGATAACCATGACAGACACGTTAGAAACAACCGGATTATAGCGCAGAGATCGATAAAACCAGACGCTAAGGTTCTCGATGCGGCACCCGCACCTCGTTTTTCCCCGAATCTCCTCCACATGTACCATTTAGTTGCATTGAGTTTCATGAAACTAACTGTCATCTTACTTTGCCCAGAAGTTACGAGGCAAAATCATTCCTCATTCGACCTTAGAAAATAACTTAGTGTAGTCTCAACATTACTTTTAAGGATTGCTTTTAAATTTGAAGCCATATTCTCTAATGTGCATCTCCACGTACTATTTCAATGCACCTTTCCACAATTGAGGAGACCAACGGGGACTCCTAGTACTGAGTTTGTATTTGCTTCATGTTCCATAAAAGCGGGCAATTGAAGCGTCGCGTATCAGGATGTCCCCCCCCCCCCCCCTTAAGTATGACATCAAATTTGCAGGGAGTTCATTCGAGTAATCCTCTGTAAAGAGTAGCAACAAGCAATCCTTTGAACGGAGAATAGGAACGAAATGCCAAATGCCAGGCATGAAATCTCCCCAAAAATCTCACACACTTCATTGACTTGTGTCCACCTCTCCGAACAGAACAACCAAATCTAGATTATATATAGGAAGAGGACACATCGCTGACATTGTACATTTGAGTCGCTTTCACAAACCTCCCAAGGGAGAAACGTAATCCTATTAGCTGCCTTAGCGTGCATGCATACATACGTACATACACAAGTATATATGTGTATTATTATTATTATTATTAAATGCAATGGCACAGCTCAGTCTGTGCATAATTTTATGAACATGTAGAGAAGATCAGCACATACACATACATATTATAAAGAGAGCGGGATAATGGAAATGATGAGAGTTCAAGGGATGCAAAGGACATAGAAATCTTTTGACAAACCAAGATGGGCAGAGAGAAATTAATCGAGGGTGAAGAGACAGATGATTCAATGAGCCGAGAGCTTACACACTTCCGCCTTTTACAAACTTACTTCTTATATATATGTGGGTGTGTGTGCGGAGAGAATGGGGAACACGGAGAGACAAATGGAGTGTACACTAATGCCTTCTTTCCTCCACAGTTTAAAACTCTTGCGACACTTTTTACAGCTATATAGAGGATGCAAAATAGACAATAAATAGAATGGCAAATTGGTAGGGATCATTGCTGTTGTGATTCAATTTAATGCATCACGCTTGTATGTCACAGCTGCAAAAATGAACAAAAAAGGACACACGTTAATTCAAAGAACCAAAAGAAAAAAAAACAAACCTAATAAACTCACGGGGTGAAAACCTCTTAAAGAGCCCTCGAATATGATTTTCCAATTGGGATCCAGCTTTCCAAATATCCGAATCAACGCTGTTATAAAGCTCAGCGTTGTAAAACATTTTAGCCAAATCGTCAGCTAGCCTTTTGGGACCTGCGTTACCGTCATAACGCCCATTCTTAAGCCAGTTGTTGATCATTGACAGATCCACAGGGTCAACCACAATCTCATAATAGTCTGGGACCTCTTCTGCATCAACAGGTTCCTGAAATGGCCAGGAGTTTCGGTGTCTCAGCACAGAGGAAATCAAGTCTGCGCAAGTATAAGAGGCAGATTTGGCTGATGTGATCGTAGATGCAGAAATTCTGGCCCTCTTTCTCGGAGGTGGTTCATCATCTGCCTGCTCCTCTGTCGCTTCTGTGTCATTTCCTTCAGTCTCTTCTGACTCCTCTCGGTCATCATAGCCAGAAGCTCCATTTTCCTCTCCACCATCATCTTCTTGATCCAAAGTGTCATCAGAGGATACGCTCTCACCTTCAGAGCTATCCTCGTTGTATGAAACTGGTCGTGGTCGCTTCCTTGGTGTTGTAGAAACCTTATGCAGACGAGCGTAACTGTGAAACGATGAATAAACAGATCATTCGTATGGGAAGGAGAAATTAGGAACACAGAGTTTACAGTTTTGGAGAAAACGCTAATGGAAGTATACAATTGCATAAATATGCTACGAAGCTATAAATAGAGCGCTTGTAATTAGGCCTAATTTTTAAAAAAAAACAGGCAAGATACCGATGTAAATTACACAGGCACTGCTAAAAGGAGAGAAAAAAGAAATTTGAGGTCAAAACCAAGTCAAAGGAAATAGAGAGGAGACTGTTATTTGGAGGAAGGTGGCACATCGACCAAAATGCATCTAAAATTGTTTCCCAAAAGATAAGTACAAAGTTTGCCAAGGTAATTCCAGGCAGGTGCATAAAAGATGTGCAGCAAGAAATCTGAAATATGAATGGCGAAATTGTCAAGTAGGCAACCTAATGAATCTAAGCAACTAATAAAACGAGGCTCTCTCTCTCTCCCTCTTCATCAACCTTCGATCCTTTAACAAGTGAAAAATTGATCCCTTAATCTCAAATACAGGTTAATTAAACATGAGCTAATTTGAGCGGTGGCATTGACAATACGAAAGACAGTCTCAATGCGTAGTAGAGGCTCAGCGGGGTCAAAATGATGAAGGAGACGCACTAATGAGGAAACAGGGTGACGCTTGTAATGAATTTATCTGCAAGCACCAAGGCCTCCTACTCACCAGTTGCTTTACACCATGTAAATTTCGAATCACCCCAACTTCCACATCGAAGTATCCACCCCCGAATGATTTAAACACATTCCCTTACTATTTGCTTGAGTTTTGCATCCTCCACCTATTTGACCGCATAAGATTATGCATTCTGACGTCACTAGCACACCCGCCAACTCAAATAAACGAATGTTCAAGAGAATAGAAATTATTGAACCGACAGAATTCAAACCCCACAATATCTAAGAAAGGAATAAAGACGATTTTTAATTGCTGTCCATACCTGCTCTTGCGATTAGCTCGACTATTACCACGAAGACGGAGCGACTGGGCCATAGCCGTGGACTGTCCACGGCTCACCCGGCAGACAGAACAAACCCAGGGGGCCCGACGGCTGGCTGAGCGCAGAGGCGGGTTGTGGCAGTTGGAGTGGAAGGCATTGGGACAAGTCGAGCAAATTATTAGCTCGTCCTCCTCAATGCCCTCCTCGTCACAAACCAGACATAGAACGTCATTTGATGTCGATTCTGAAAGGCAAATAATCGATCAAGTATGTTAGCAAAAGCATCATTAAACATGGAGTGCTGAAAAGAATAAAAACTAGCAAAACCAGTTGAAATACCTTCTTTCCCCTACCAGCTCACTCTTAAACTACTTGCAAGTGCAAAATTCCAAGCACATTAAAAGCATTCAATTTAGGCAGAGTACCATTACACATGTGAATTCAATTTCATTTCACGTTGAATAGACAAGATTGGTGATTCGATGGGCTTAATTAAGGTCTCAACCAAAAAAGGCTACGAGACACAAATTGCACATCGTGACATGCAGACAACCAATTTTAGGACAGACTATGCGTCACCAACGCGTCAATACTTAGCCCAACTCCCCCCCCCCCCCCCCCCCACCCCACTTAAACCTTCTATTCCCGATAAACGTAAATGAACTTTCCCACTTGGATGCACTTAATAAGAATTCAAGTAGCCGCTACAAGTACCTCCGTTTATTAACGAATTCAAAAGGAAATGCAATAGAAAACTGACGGGCAAAAACACAACCGTAGTGCACTGGTTTATCGCACAAATTCCCCGCCTTAGATGACCTTATTGCCCCCAGATATAACACTCAATTCGAAGCACTTGACAAACCAAAGCCTAAAACCCCTATGCAAAAACTGCCAATCGCCTTGCAAACTGGTGGCTCATAATGAATAAATGCATGACAAGACCAAGGCTTATGCAGTAACAATTGCTGCACCAGGCCACGCTTCCTTTGTCTTATTTTGTCACCTGCTAACCACTTTAAAAAAACAAACTTCCACTTCCACGACAACTGATGGTTTGTCTAGATGAACTGATATTCAAAACCACTCCGAGGGAAAGACTCGCACTCTGCCACTTTTATAGAAACTAATTAATCGCATCGGTAGTATAGTGATAACAAAAGAGTGCTCGTCTGTTTGTAATAAATGAAACTTACGCGTCTTAGCAGCAACTGCTTTCGCCTGTTGGGAGAAATGAGATGATGATGATGACCTAGACATTATCCGTCTTGTTGATTGCGATTTCTTACTACGAAGTCGCCTTCTTCCATCATCATCACCATCCGACGACACGCTTTCACTTGCACAATCCCCTGCACCAACTGATTCCTCGTTGTCAGAAGAGGTTTCAGAACCTTCATCTCTTGAATACCGGTCCCTTCGACGAATGGAGCTAGCCGAAGTTGTTGGTTTTGTTCGACTTGGCGGTGGTTTACAGGACACACAAAACCAGTCCCCTTCTGGAATCGTGTGCAGGGACGGACGTAGACAGTAAAGATGGAATCCCGCATTACAGCCATCACACAGGAGCAGACTATCATCGTCTCCCTTCTTCCGACAGATGCGACAACGCACATTGGCCACTGATTTCTCCCATTGGATGCACGCGTCTAAACAAGCCTGAAATGGATGCAAGTAGTTAATGAAGACCGACTAGTTACTAGTTTAGATAGTACATACAAAGGAAGGATGAACTCGAACTTCACTATGACACAAAATAACCGGGTAAGGTCATAGGGGATATAAAAAACCATTCAAGATTGCATCCGAATTCTAATGTGCCCTTGAATTAGCTAATCCACTAGATAAATGATGGCGAATGAAAGCCATTCTAGAACACGCCTCGAAAGGCGACAGTAAACTGGGATTATTATAAGCAAATATGGCGGCGATACCTAATGAATGTCTCATCCTGAGAAGTTAATAGTAGCTCCACATTAATTTCCACCTCATATACAATTTTACAAGCGAATAACTTGTGCGAGCACTCATAGTAATCCTGAAAGAAAAAAGGCACTGAGGGGGAGCGTAAATTATAATCCCTATAAGAAGTAGTTGGGAAGAGACAAGCAGTGATTAGTAATAAGTGATGAAAGAAGGCGTCTCTATAACATATTCATAGTTTAACGGTAATTATTCGATTGCAAATTAATTCAACAGTTTTGGAAAAAAGAACTCCGACGTAATCAGTAAAACCAGGCGTGCAAGACGGCATCCTACTCATTAAGTTTGCAAATTAACAAGACATTGAACTTAACACTAAGAGATGTCCACATTGGCAATTAGTGGCTTGAGAGTAAAAAATGATATTTTTAACCGAGAGATAGCCATATTTTATGGGAACAAAACCTTACAGTTCACACCCCATCGATTACGTGTAAGACTATTGTTACCCGTCCAACTGCCTCTGCCACTATTTCGATCGACTGTGCTTAATAACAATGCCCTCTTAAACTCACATGAAGCACATTAAGACGCGAAAACGTTGAAGCCGATCGAACAGCCTTCGTCCAAGACTCCACCCATAGCTCAACATCACCTTCTCGAGTTGATCTTTCAGGGCGATATTCCACATTTTGCTGATTCAGACCAATCTCCTCTGGCCCTGCTTCCTCACAGTTATTAATATTTTCACTCCCAGACTTCTTTTCACGAGGCAACACCTTAGGGACACTGAGGAAACGCCTGTGGACATTCAAGCCCATGGTTATAAGAGCTTCTGCAGCGGATTGCAGGGGTGTGGTTGTGACTTTCTGAGATTGAAAAGACACTGCACACTGCAGAGTGGCAGGAGAGGGAGCGTGAATAGCTGTGGGACCTCCTTTTAGCGGAGTTGAGGGGACGCTGCCTGTGAGACAGAAGCACAAGCCGTAGTGGGATTGAATAGAGAGGATTTTCGCCATCCACCCTGGAAACTCGGGCACTCCACCCAGACCACCATCCCGCAAGTGAATTTCTGTCTCGTACATGTTCTAAATTCGAACAATCAAACAATAATCAACAACTCTGATTGAAAACAGCAAAATAGGATAAGATGATAAACCACCTTCAAGAAGACGTTTGCAAGGATGGCTTGAGCATCACCTCGAGGCTTGGCCGTGATCTTCTCAATGACAATCCTTCAAACAATAAAGTAAAAAATAGTTAGAATTAAGCAGGAACTGATGTTGTTATTGATGTTATTTTCTTGATGTTATTTTCAGGAATTTATGATCAGAGCGTGAATTTTCTCGTGCTAGGTCTTTTCAAAATCGTCATAGTCTACTTATCTTACACTCCTCTCAATCTCAAATTAGCTTCGCTGTGTTCCATTCATCGATTTTCAAGGTGTTAAGACAACAGCAAACTTAAATCTCTAAGTCATTCATACTGACCAAATATCCTTCAACTTTCTTAGATTCTAGTGGAATGAAGTGACAAAAAGGTGGTGAATGAATTCGAGAAAAATGAAACCGACTGGCATTTTGAGAAAAGCACGTTTTCATTTGAACACAAGGGTTATCGAAGAGACCCACATTTGGATGAGTTAAATTTAGAAAAAAAGACGCTGGCATTTTAAATTCATGTCAAAATGAAGCGAAACTTGACCAAATGCAAACGCTGACTAACAAGAACTAAATTGAATTAGAGCTATAAAAATCCAGTGACTGGGGCTAATTATAGCTTTTGGTTGATTATAGATCACTCAGGTTAATCAATGATTGTTGAAAGTTTAGAAATAAAGGTGGAATCAACTTTTCTTTCCTAACGATTGCGGACCACTTTTGTACTGCATCAGAATAACCGACGTTACCATTCAATCTATTAATAAATCACCTCTAGGCATCGCAGAGATAACCCATCACTCAGAAATCCATTGGTCAAATTCTAACCTCCTCATAAATGAGCTAAGAGGTTTGGGATTAAACTGCACTAATGTGAAGAATTCATATCGTCTCAGAATTGAACAACTTACAAATCATTGAGACAATGATGTACATTGAAGAAAGTGATTTCAACTACTCAAATTGAACAGAGAATGAGAAATACGCATTCTCTCACCCCTCAATTCATAAACATTAACTGAAGATATGCCTACCTCGTGACACGAGAGAAGTTAATTAATATTTTTTAATGTCCATAAACAGTATCATCTGGCACTCTTACCCAAGTTTGTGCGTGTACATAAACAGTATTAAGTACAACAAGAATATCACTTACTCATCGCGCGAACTCGGTGATCGATCTACATCCACAAGCTCCACTATTTCAGTACTAGATCTTTCAGCCTTCGATATGGCAATGAGCTCCTTCAAGTTCTCTAGAAGACCAGATTGAACTAGATTCTTTTTCAAATGACTTTCCCTGGCTCCCCTTTCAGCTAACGACTTCGATAAGTTATCTAACTCCTCAGCTTTGTCAAACACAGACCAATTTGAGCGTGCAGCATAGCTGAAACGATGAGCACGTTCAGCGGATGAGAGCGATTCATCGGTGACAATATGAGGTGGGGGTAATGAGGCGACAGGATAATCTTCATTACTGTGGCTATCTAAAACTCGATAATCCTTTGGACCCCAATTAGACTCCACGAAAATTCGATCAGGAGCACAGGTAAATCGCCAATAGCGGCGATCAAAACGATCTGTGCCGAGCAACCGGGCCCGACAGGAAAGTTGATAGTCTGTGGTAGCCACTGTTTCGTCGTGTTCTGCCTTTGCCAGTGCCTTTTCCTCGGCTTCAATCTTCGCCTCCAGTTCACGACGGTGGCGTTCGGCTGTCTCACGCTTTTCTCGCTCTTCTGCCGCTTTAGCAGCCAGCAAACGGCGACTCTTGACTACTGATGCCAGATCATTCATTTCTGGTTCTAAAACAGGATGACATATAACGAACTAATTTTCTAATAGTAGATAGAATATCATTTGAAAAGGGGTGGTGGATGGAGATACGGAGGAGTACATCTTGTTGCCTCCAAAACTGGGAAAGAATTACTAAAGATAGGAAAAACTTTTCTTTCAAATTCTTAATCACTTCATCGACCATCTTTAGAAGGACTATTGAAACAATTTCATACTATTAATGAATAAAAATATTCACAAAACGGGAAAACTAAATCAGTCGAGCAATCACCAGCTCTACACTTCTGCTACAATCTCTTTCGTATAAAACCTCGGATGATAAGACAAACCTGGAAAATATCAATACAGGTATAAAATGCGATTATTCAAGCAATTCATGTAGAAATTACCCTTCTGAACTGATATCTTTTCCTCCATTAATTCCGGTGGAATGACAGTACGTTCCTGCTTGGCCAGAGTCAAGCGCTCTTTATTGGTCTTAACAGACCTCTGATGACAGCTGATAATGTACTCATCCACCATGTCAAAGTCAAGCATTAATTCAACGAGAACTTCAATAGCTAGAATTCGATGTTCAACATTAAGAGCGAAGAGATCAACCGAGGAGAGCTGCTCAAAGAGGCTGTTGGCCCCAAGAGAAACTCTGGAAGGTTCTAGAAGTGATGTATTTCCACCACCGAATGAGTTAATTATCTGGCGGATACGATCAATAGCCAGATCATTAGTTGAAAATGTCCCTTTGGCCAGTTCGCAACTCAAAAGAAGGCGCAAAAGTTCAGGAGCTGTGTAGGGAGTTATGGGAATTTTTGAGAGCTCAATCCCCAACTCGCTTTTCTTCTAAAAGTCAGAAAGATCAAACACAGTAATTAGTAGTATTCTTTGATCTGATGTTAGTCAACAACAAAAAAGGAATTGATCTACTCCTCACTGCAGCTTCAATCATGCTCTCCAATGAATGCGCACCATTATGCATCGAACTTCTAATCAGATTATAAATGATCAAGTATCTCAGCGACACCAGAAAGTGACCCCAACATATACACAGGTATGAATACTCGGCTTAGATTAGACCAAAATGAGTAAATTTTTAACTTTAATTTAACGTACGAGAAAGGAATAAGCATTAACTCGTGAAATTAAGGACAAATCTTACGATGAATAGAAAGATATAATAAAGTGGAACTGGACCCTACAACGATGAAAAGAAGATATACCCAAATGGAAAGCTAACAACCGATTCGAATCCCAATTGAGTGATTCGAAAATCCGAAGTAATTGACAAGCAATTGCAAAATGTCGCAATAACAGTTACTGTAGCTAAATTGGCTAAATTGTGAAAATAAATTGGCCTAAATGAAGCACAAACCGTCCTAATTAAATGGCAAAGTAATATTTCCCTAAATTATGCACTTAAACTACTAGCAAACTGGTGCGACAACAATGGAATGGTAATCAACACCCCGAAAACTCCATTCCAAACTTTTTATTTGGCCCATCACAGCATAAACCCGCTTCTAAGGTACAAGGGTACTAACATAGAAAAAACCAATGAGTTCACATATCTCGGAATGACTTTTGACACAAATCTAACGCGGAAAAGTCACATTGCTAAAATAGCAGAACGAGTCTCCAATAGACTGAATGTACTGAAACGTCTTGCTGTTAGCGTATGGGGCTGTACTCGCTCAACTCTCAACACCACTTACAAGATGTTTATTCAGCCAATAATATTGTACTGCTGTGAGCCACTCATTACAGCCACAGAGGTGACTCTCAAACCAATCGAGAAGGCACACAACCAAGCATTACGACCAATTACTGGAGGGATAAAATCAACACCCATTGATGCAATGCTCCTACTTACAGGAAGTACCACAATATGTTCCCTTATCAAAGAAAAGGCCTTGATCCTGTATGAGAAGCTACTGCGCATTCCCATGGATAAGTTCTTCAGCACCTATGAGAATAGACCAAGACATCTGAAAACG